GTGCCACGTAGGAGCCATGTCACCTCCTCGGTCAACGTGTGGTCATATTGGATCCTTGACTGACTCATGTGTAGTGTGTTGCCTTGTCATCGGTGCAGGAGAAAAGCAGAGTCCATGTGAGCTCTACACCATGCGTGTGCCAAGTCACTTCTCGGTCAGTGTGTGTTCAATTTTGCACCACTCATCTCCATAACACATGACAACCTTCACCACTTACTACTGCTACCATCCATTCCGACTTCCTCTATCTCCTCTCTAGCCTTGTTCACTTTCATCATTTTTATTGATTTTTCTTTCATATGAATTATTTCATTCGAGCAATCATCTTTGATGATGGTGACATTGTTACTTGCCCTCAAACATGGATTTTATTTCGTAGTAACAATGTTATCATAATGTGTATTCAAAGAGGAATGACATTTGAGCATTTCAAACAAATTGTTCTACAAAATGTGGTTGATCTCCCATAAACAACTTTCAACCATCACGTACAGATACCACATCGAGTTTATGGCTCAGATGTGTATTACACTGCAACTACGCTTCAAGACGACAAAGATTTAGAAGAGCTAATCGACATAAAAAACGCAAACTCAACATTGCCCGGAACTGAGATATGTACAACCTATCATCGAGGTAATCCTTCTGTTCTTAACCAATACTAAGATCAACACCATCACTCACAAACACAACCTATGACAAACATTTGATTTGAACAACACCTATTTAAGGCAATGGGAAGCTGATGTACAATGATACAACGAGCCTCTAGCTTGTCTATCTACATCAAATGTTTTTCCCTCCCTCACCAATGCAATCACAAAACCATTATCTTCTTTTTTACCTGAAAATGAAACTTTAGGATTTTCTTCAACATCTTTAGAACCTTTTAGTGATGATGAGAACGATATCCTTACACAACATGCAGATGAGGATGATGACAACTTAGAGGTCCCCCCATACAACAACAATCTCAACATCATTTACCTCATCCATACATCCCTTCCCAACATTTTGAAACCTATACCACACTTCCTTATGAACAAAATAGTGAGTTTGGTGATGCATTTGACCATGAATTAGTCGAACATCCACCTAGATCATTATTTAAGGGAATGTGGTTCCAAAACAAGGAAAAAGTAATTGATGCACTTAACAGGTTCCACATAATGAATCATTGTACCTACAAAGTTACACATTCCAACACCACCAGATTAAAAGTGCAGTGTGTTGAGAGTCATTTTAATTGGAAGTGTCAATCGATCTTGCGCACCAAAGAACAATTTTGGGAGATCTGAAAGATAGAAAGAGCCCACACATGTGATACGCCTTTAATATCACAAGATCACAATAAGTTGGGGTCACGCTTAATTTCACAACATATTTGTGAAATTGTGGATGTAAACCCTTCTACCCCTATTGCAACTATTATTGCTCATATCAATTCCTTAGTTGGATACATTGTGACATACAGAAAGGCTTGGTTAGCAAAGCAGCAAGCAATTGAAATGTCTACGACAATTGGGAAGAATCATTCAACAAATTGTCTAGCCTATTACAAGCCATGTCACAATTTCTTCCTGGTTTCTACTATGGATTAACCATACAACAACTATCTTCCATCGAGGATAAGGTATACTTTAAAAGAATATTCTGAATCTTTAATCCATGTATTGATAACTTTCAATATTGTAAACCACTAGTCTACGTGGATGGGACATTTTTATATGGCAAATATAGGGGCACCCTACTACTAGCTATTGCACAAGATGAAAGGAACAACATAATCCCTATTGCTTTTGCAATTGTTGAATGTGAAACTGCAGATGCTTATTTTTATTTTCTTAAAAAACCTAAGGAGGTATGTCATACCTTAGGACAATTTGTGCTTAACTTCAGATCGTCACAACTCAATTTATGCAGCGTAGGCAAGACCTGAGAGTGGATGGACTGAGGGTAACTGTATGCATGTGTACTACATTCAACACATTGCACAAAATTTTATGAGAAGATTCAAGAATGCAACTCTAAAAAAAGACCTTGTCAATATGGGTAACAACTATTCAATCTAAACTTTTTTACTATGTCATCTTGTTTATTCTATGTTAATTTTTATTACTTCAATATGCAGCACACACAATAACTGAGCCGAGAGCAAATTACTACTACAACATTATAAGACAAACCAATCCAGAAGCAACAACCTGGATTGACGAAATTCCAAGGAACAAATGGGCACTTGCATATGATGATAGTAAAAGATGAGGTCACCTAACAACCAACTTAGCTGAATCCATCAATTCAATCCTATAAAAAAACAAGGAATCTATCAATCTCCTCTATGGTTATGGCCACATACACAAGATGCAACAAAATTTTCATAGAAAAATGGAGACAAATCACATCAATAATTAATGTTGGTCATGTCTATTTAGAAGTTACATCAAAGGTCTTACAATATGCGTATACAAAATCAAACACTCATAGGGTGCTTGAATTCGATAGAAGCAATACAAGATTCTTAGTGGAGGAAATCGTCAACCTAAGAGAAGTTCGACCTCCTAGTAATTTTGTTGTTAGACTAGATGAAGCTTGGTATGATTGTGAGAAGTTCCAAAAACTTTGTCTATCATGTTCTCATGTGTTTGCAGCGTGAAAACATACTCACCATGATCATGAGATGTATATCAATTCTGTTTACAAGTTGGATGTAGTCAACAAAGTGTATGACAATTTGTTTGGGGAGCTTAGGCACGAAGATTATTGACCATCACATTAAGGTCCACAACTTTGCCCCAACCCAGGAATAAGAAGTTCTAAGGGTTGTCCGAAATCAACACGAATTAGGACTAAAAATGGATATCCGCGAAGAAGGTCACCCAAATAAATGTTCTTATTGTCACACTCCAGGTTACACAAGAAATCATTGTCTATATAATCCTGATCTTAGGGGATCAACTTCTCATAGATAAATTTGTTTTGTTTTGTAATATGACATTACAATAAATAAATAAATAATTATTATAATCATTTGTGATTTCCTAACTTACTTATTCATGTTTCATTGATTTAATATCTAAAATATTAATTCACTTTAATTCAAATGACATATCTTACTTAAATTATCTAATTCAAATTCTATCGATACAAAATTTTAACAAAATATTTATACCAAATCTATTTTATATTGTATCAAAATTAAATAAAATTATTTTTTGTATAAATATTATATTTATTTACTAAACATTTTTTTATTAAATAAATACTTCAATATTATATAAAAAATATATTATCGTATATAATATAAATATGTAAATATATATATATATATATTTATAAAAGTGTATACACATATATTAAACATATAATTATATAATATATTTTTATTATATAAAAAACTATATATTTATATTTATTATATATAAAATATAAACAAATATTTTACATATATAAATATGTATATTTATTTAATATATATATATATATATATATATATTTAATAACTGTATTTATATTTACTACAAATATTCATATATTTCTATGGAAAAGATAGAAAATTATAATTTGTATTCCTAACAATATTTTATATTAAATAAACACTTCAGTATTATATATTTATATATATATATATATATATATATATATATATAACATTTAATAAAGTTATTATGTATATAATAATTATATTTATTAAATATTTAAATATATAATTATATATATATATATATTATATTTAATAAAATTATAATGTATATAACAAAATATAAATATGTATTTACCATATTTATAAAAAATATATAAATATACTAAAATATAATAAAAATATTTATATATTTCTAAAAAAAATATTATTTTTACTTATTAAAATTATTTTATATTAAAAATATATTTAAATAATAATATATAATTTATTTATGTAAAAATGTTATGTAGAAAGATATAAATATATATTTATTAAATACATAAATATATACATGTATTTATTATATTTATAAAAATATAAATAAATATTTAAATATTATATATATATATATATATATATATATAAGTATATTTTTATTTACTATATTTATAAAAATATATTAATAATATAATTATATAAATATGTTTTTATGTTATATAAAAAGATATATTTATATTTATTTTATATAACTATATAAATAAAATTTTGAAATTAAAAAAAATATATAATATTTATATTTAATAAATATTATTTTATTTTAATAATTTTATTAATTACGGAGGTGGAAATTCGGCTTCCGGTATAAAAAATTTGCTACATAGGAAAAAAATCCCATATTTTTCTTCCAAAATAGCCCAGATTCGATTTAATTATTAATTCGTCTGTTCCAATTAGGATTTCTATTTGGTTATTTTCGCTTGCAGGACTCTTCTCACCATTTTGGTCGAACGCACAGAAGAAGAGAAAAAAAAATGCAAATCCAATTTCAGAAAATGACTCAGATTATTCTTCTAAGAAGCATGTGGATGAAGAGAGATGGATTATGGGGTTGTTGGAGGCCCAGGAAGTAGACACAAAATGTTTTAACAGAGAATAATTTAATAATACTAACCTGCTCATTTCATTAGCTTATTCTAACCTTTAAGAAGATTTCTGAAGTATGCAACAGAGTATAGAATGTTGCAGAGAGCAACAACCTAAGCCAAGAGACAACTTTGTTTGTAAACATGTGTGTGAGTGAATGAATATAAGTAATCCCTTGCTTGAACATGAAATAATAGGTGAAAGGTGAAGCAGATAGTTACAATTATACCATCTCAAACAAGTTATCCTTAATCCAAATCTCATTCACAGCCACCACGTGCATGCACAGTGCCACTCAATCAAAAGTAATAAAGTAGCTTAATTAATCACCCAAGTCCTAATATATATATATATATATATATATATATATATATATTTTCTCTGATTCAATTCATCGAGTGAAGACACATCAGAAGAGTTATACAGAAACGTAGGAATTGGAGGAAGAAGAAGAATGTTGGATTGTGGGCCAGTGGTTGTGTCTGTGGTGCTATACGTTCTGTTGATGCCGGGGTTGCTTTTTCAAGTACCTGGTCGTTCAAGGTGCGTTGAGTTTGGAAATTTTCAGACCAGTGCTGCTTCCATACTCGTCCATTCCCTCCTCTACTTTGGTCTCATCTGCCTCTTCTTGCTCGCTGTGAAGGTCCACTTTTACATCGGCTAGTTTCTCATTAATCCGTTCAGGATCCATGCACACCAAAACTTAGTCTCATATATAATCATTTTTCATTCGGGTCCTTCGTACTGTATGCAATGGGTTGAGTCAAGTTCTTGTTTATTCTCTTTCGTTTGTTGTTTGTTTTTCATGTGTTTGTATTTTACTCACTTCAACTTTTACGTGTATCTTGTACACATGACTAAAGATAAAGCATGAATTGAGTCTCTGGAAGTTTTGATAACTTATTCAGCACACCATGCAGGGCCAACCTTCAATATTGTAGTAAGCTTATTGGAACACATAGAGTTGCTACTTTCTTCCTCTCATGCATCATCTTCGTATCGATATGGATCTGATTCTTTTAATATTGCTAGATGTAATTACTTGCACAAAATTTGAAAAGAATATATAAATGTATACTTTGAAAAATATACATTATAGAAAAGTACGGTTCAGTTATGAAAATAATTACTATAGATTTTTTTTCCTATGAATTTATTTTCTAACTCATTTAAAAAAAAATTATAGAAGAGTCAAAATTGGAGAGAAAAAAAAGAAGAAAGACCGTGTCAAAACTAACTATGGATGGAAGTAAAAAAAGACAAGAAAAAGATAGACCATGTTTTGAAAAAAAGTAGTTATAATTAGCTTATTACAATTATAACTATCTGGTAAAATTATTCGTTGAACAACTAATAATTTATTCACAGCGTTACTAATAAAATTGAATAAGTTTTTTATTTTGTTAAAGGGAACAAACCTTTTAGTTAATAAAATAAACTATGGTAATTGAAAGTGTTTGTTAAACATAACTCTATCTATGATAAGTTCTGGATTTTTGGGTTGACTCGACGCCAAATTTTTATGTTTGATTGCATTTTCTTCATGTGCTTGAATAGTACTTAAAACGCTTGATTCAATTGTAAGTGTTTTGCTTTATTTTAAAATTTTATTGATTTGTAGATAATAAAATATATTTTATAATTTCCACTTTAAAGAAATATACATAACCTGCAGAGTCCAAATCACGAAGCTCTTTTATTTTTATTTTTTTTAAGAAAAAATGAATTTAATGGAGGTCGTGGCTGAATCTAGGGGGTAACGTGTTCACCCACTCAACACCAAATCAGCTAATGATTTGTCTTTTTTCAGCTTCATCTCACAAAAAATAATTGATTCCATCTAATCTTGCTAGCAACTCCATTAATCAAAAGCCACACCAAAATTTGGATTTAGCATATGCTGCCACGTTGTATGTGCTTACTTGCTTTAACATCCTACCACTGACGACATGCATCAAAACCAAAACTAACTATTTTTATATTGTCATTTACTTTGATTTTGATTCCAAGATCATCATCTTCAATTTCCTATTTAATTTCTAGCAAGCTTCTACTGTGATATACATTAATCTGTGTTGTAACTAAGGTTGAAGCAAAGAATCACTGAGAATATTCGTATGCAATGGCTGATTGGGGTCCTGTGGTGATAGCAGTGGTGCTGTTCCTGTTGCTAACTCCTGGTCTTCTGTTTCAATTGCCAGGGAGGAACAGAGTGGTGGAGTTTGGGAACATGCAAACCAGTCCAGTGTCTATCTTGGTCCACACAATCATCTTCTTTGGTCTCATTACCATCTTTCTTATTGCCATTGGTGTGCATATCAACACTGGCTAGGCTAATCAAATCATCATCTTACCCACTGCTTTATTCTATTCTTTTTGGTTTAGATCTAAATCTGTTATATTGTGTTAATTCTTATTCTTTTACTGTGTTTTCCCATTTCTAACTCTTCTTCTGTTAATCACCCTTCTTGGTTTGTGTAGAATCATACAATGGAATCTTGGTTCACCAAATTCACACACTCATATCATATCATATCATATATTGGTTCATGTTTTATGCTATGATGCCCGTTTTCTTCAATCAAGGTCATTTTGTGTCTACGTAATCTAATATTCATTCGAGTGTATTTCAAAACAGAGAAGAAAAAGGAACAAAGTACGGTGTTATTTAAGAAATTCCTTTAGTTTAATGGCTGTAGTTGTTCTAAATTATGTGATACGTTTACCACGACAATTCCCTATTTCTTTTTCTTCACAAAACGCTTTTTTGGTACATGAAGACTACAAAAAAACATTTTTTTTATGCATAGTGAACATGAACTTGACTAATATTAAAACTCTCTTTATTTTAATTGGGTTTATATATAATTATATGTAATCGAAAATGCTTTTTATTCTGCTTGAGTATTAGTGGTTTTTTTTTCCTTAAAAGTTTAGGAAGCAGCTGAATGGAGAACTTCATTGTGATGGTTGGATAATGGATACCATATGACACAAAATAAACGTGGAAATGAATCATATGTAGCTATGCAATACTTATTATGTTCTATTTAACTATGTAGCTAGTACTATGTTTAAATATAACTAATTTAGTTTCACTCGAATTAACAACTTGTTTGATAGATAGATAAATCGCTTTTAGATGATCAAATGTAATTAAAAATAAATACATGATTTAAATTAATCAATAATCTTCACCATGCATCAATTACCCTCAAATGGCACACAGCAAATCAATGATATCAGCTGTAGTTTCTACAGACATTAAACGCAACAAACATGCGATCCAAAAATATATTTCTTGATCCCAGTGCACACCAGTTTCTCAGAAGTATTTTCCTTCTCTTTCTATTCTGTAACAACTGAACAGAGGGAAATTCAAAAGCCTAAGCTTAAGTATTTAGCAAGCTAATTGCCAAAATACAACAAGTGATAAGGGAGAAGGAATTAAGGTGCATGAGAATAACAACCCTGATTGAGAGGTAATTGTAATTATTTATTTCTTCACAATTTACTTGGCTATTTCTAATGCACAAAGAGAAGCCATATCCCCACAGTACCACGATTCCTGCATCTGCTAAAAGGAGAAGCTTCGTAATCTTTAATAATGTCTTGCTGCGAAACGTAGCACAAAACCCACCACCCTTCTTCTCATTTTCCTTTCTTCATTTGTCACTTTACGTAAGCTACCATGCTGCATCCAACATCAAAATATTTAATGCTCATCGTGCAAACTAACAAACTTAATAAATTCAAAATAGAAGTCCAAAAAGATTGAAAATTTTTCATTAAAAGGGCCATTACAGAAATTTACACAAAAACATGATATTCAAAACTCTACAGTATATACAGGGTATGGATAAAAACCAATTCTTGGGAATAAAACAAGCATGTATTAAAAAAAATGCTCCAAGCCACGTAGAATTTACCGAATTGGCTATGCTGAGACAAGGACCTGCTCTGGCTGCGGTTGAGAACCACATCTCTAATTTGGTATATTTTGTTCGGGTAAATGAGTATTGAGTATTTGAATGAGTGGTGTTCTATACATATATACATAAAAAGAAAAGTATACACTCCTAAGTACCAACAGTCTTGCATAAGAGCCATGTTTAAGAAATGTACCCCCATTGAAGCTACTCTGAACATCTAAGCATATCGTGCAATATTGTCGAATGTTGAATAACAAATTAAGAGTGATTTCCCAATAAGAGAATCCAAAATGAAACTAGCTAGATGCAGTTTACTCAGTGTATATTCTAAGTCCCAGAAAAATTAGAAATAACTTTGATGCATCATGCATATCCTCTCTATTTCATGCTCATTACAGACCCCTGCCCCTGAATTGTAAAGTTATTGAGAATTCTACAACTGTTATGGTGGGAAACCATGCACCAATGTAATAATGAAAACAACATGATGAAACTTGATGATAGTATATTTTAATAAAGAATTTATGACTAAAATTTATGATAGTATATAATAATTTAAAATTAATCACGTAAATATTATTTTTATCCAATTTTAAACCAACCTAATCTCCAGTAAATGGTAGGCTCCATCTTGTGGACAGGACAACTAACCAAGCATAGTCCAAACCTTTAAAGATCGGTTCTTAGAACCAAACAAAAAAAAGGTCAAAAAGAGAACTTTGTTGTTGAGCTTTTTCCATAACACAATTTTGCATCCTACTCCGATTGGCTATTTCTTCAAAGAAGTTTCAGACCATAAAGAGAAAAGTAAATTCCCCACATATCCAATCCAAAAAAGAAAGAAAAAAAATAGAAAGGATAAAAACTTGCATGTACTGTTTATTCTGTTTTCAAACAAAATTGAAATTTTACTTTAATAATGCTATTGAAATTTAATTAAATCTTGAAAAACACTACAAACCTAATCGGAGAACAACTTAAACGTTGCATCTTAATTTTTATCCATAAACAACATAAATATTAAGAACGTAACTCTGTTTTTATTTTTTTATGATAAGTTTGAAAATTATTAGCAAATAAACACAGTAAAGGTACGAACTGTAAACATAAAGTCTGTGAAAAAAATACCAAGATGAATTAATGGATGAACATCTCTCTGATCACATGCTAATATTCATTCATCGGAAACAAAATTAAGTGTTTTTTTTTTTTTTCATTTTGACGTTACCTTCACAATCCAAATATTTTTCATTTAATTATTGTGATCTTACCGGGAATGTCCTTACGCGGCGAGGATGGCGCGGTGGCGTAGCAGAGAATGGAGCGGCCGAAGACGGAGAGGCTGGAGAGGACTCCGGCGACGAAGAAGAGCATCACCAATCCCAGAACCCACGGCATCAACACGAACCCGATGAAGAACGTCACCGATCCACACAGCATCAGGGCCAGCGAGATTCCCAGCAGCAGCGACGCGAACCCCGCCGGCGATATCTGAGGCGGCGCCGAGCGTCGAGACGCCGGCGGCGGCGGAATGTCGTCGGAAAAGGGCAAAGGCGCGGGAGGCGATCGGATGAGGTTGAGAACGAGAGCGGAGAGCTCGTACAAAGCGCGTGATTGTTCGTCTTCGTGTCCTCCTCTTCTTCCTCTCATGACGGTGTCTTGTTTTTTGTTTTGGTTAATGTTTTTGTTGTTCCTGAAAATCCGAGGAAAGAGAATAATAGTGCTTGTAATAATAATAATAATAATAATAATATAAGGGTAAAGAGAAATTGGTAGAAACGAGGGAATTGGATAACGTTGTTTTGAGATGAAGAGGACGATGATGGCTTGACCTAAATGAAACCAAGTTTGGGTTGAAGAAAGATGGTGAGAGAAATGGTTTGGTTGTTGTGATAATAAGAAACAAAAGATGAATGTGACGTTGAATAAGGATAATGGATAATTGATGTATTTTGTGAAGTTATTATGAATGAATGGAAAAGAGAAAAAGGGGTTTGGATTGGTTGGGTTGATGTGGATGAGAAATATAAAAAAGGGAAAAACAAAAAGTGATTTGGGTAAGAATGACAACGAGGATTGAGAAGAACTACTTTACGACGAAGAAACCTCCAACACAAAATCATATCAATCATTTAGATGAGATAAATACACACGTCATTTACTTTTGTTCTTCCATAAAAAAAGAAGATAAGATTTGTATTAATTTTCGTGGTCAATATATACTTTCAATTCGAAAATAGTTTATTCTTACCGTTATTGTCCATTTTTAAAATATTATTCTTTCGCAAGAGATCAGTAACACTAATTTTGAAAATATTCTATTGCACAGTATAACAAACGTACTATTTTTTACTTATTCACGACGTTATTATTCTGTACATTTTATTATAGTCTAAATTTAACGGATGTAATTTTGACAATAAAACACAATAAACATCAAATAAAAACAGATTTTTAAAAATAAGTAAAAATATATTATCATTTATATATAAAACCAAAAACAAAAATGGTATATAAGATTTCCATGACGTAGGGGTTTATCTTGTTCGAATTTTAATTATATTTTCTAAGAAAAAAAAATGTTTGCGATGTTTTGGTCTTGGGTTGGGTCCAGGACTTTCGGCATGTTACGATCATTCCAATGTGAGTCTTAAATAATAATTCATCTACTACAATCATTATCATTATTGTAACTGAAAAAGTTTGTTGAGGATAACGTATACGTATTAATAATGCCGGATGTTTTTATTATTATTATTAATTGTCATTTATAGTTTTTTTGTTGTTATTGTTTTTTTTATATAATTTTTTTTCAAAACATACCAACCATTATTTATGATTATTTTATAATTTTTTATAAATTTTAAATTAAAAAAATATATTTTTAAGATGACCTTATAAATTTATAGTTTATAAACGGATTTTCTGATAAATTTAATAAATCATCATTATGATGAAAGTCGTCGATAAAGTTGTCGAGGCCCATTCTCCTCAGGAGCCCATGCTCAAAGAGGCCCATGTTTTTCTCAGTCTGATTCTCCTTTTTCTAAATTCACCTTTTTTTTTTCGGACAAAAATAAGTTTATATAATACATCAGACACGTTTTTGCTGTATAATTCATAGGCGAAGTGTGTCTATTTATAATACACATCGAAAGTAAGTTTTCATTCTATTAAATTTGTACGAATTTTTTAACATTATCCTTTAAAAAATATTTTTTTAATACTAAATTAATCAAGACATAATTTTAATAGTAATCAAATTAATTAACTAAAAAAATATTTTTAATTAAAATAATTTGAAAGACAAAAGATAAAAAATGATTTATTCAAAATTAGAAGGACTGAAAAAAATAATTTTTGTAAAAGGAGTAACGTTGAAGTTGCTAAATTCTTAATAAAATATGATAGCATTGCGGTCTTAAATTGTTTGTGCATTTAGCTTACTCTTTTTATAAGCAATTAATTTACTATCATGTGTTGAGGTGAGAAATGTATGTTTTGACAAATAATTTAGGTGTGGAAGAGAAAATTAAAGATTGATGCAGAAAATATAATGTAAAGGCAAAGGGCGCAAACAATAGTTTTTATTAATGAAGGGAAGAAAGGGTGATCCAAACAAGGAGATAGCTAAGTAGTTAGGTGATGTTTATGAAAGCTCACACACAAAATCACTGCTTATATTGTTCCTACAAGGTAGAGTCTAGTATAAGTTCATTACATACTGATTTCACATAAAACTGATTTCACAGTTCAAACTCTTTCATGGTAACCATCCTCCCATGTAATTATTCATGCTTGGGCCTCCTGTTATCACTGATACTGGGTCAGGTCGATATCTGCGATTGAACAAATTCACATATTATAAATATATAGCTTCACCATCTGATCAACATGGTGAATGATTGCAAAGTATAAACTATCATGAAACAGTGAACCAAAACATTATCTGTAGTTTTTAGTCTACATCAAATCCCAACTACGCACACCACAATCTCTTGCATGCATCATGAATTCTTCATATTATGTTCCTCTTTGCAACCACAACCACAACCATGCATCAATATTTTAATGAAGAGGAAAATGATACCCCATTTGTAACGTTGGCTCACACTCCAATGGTTGAAAGAGAGCATCGCCTTGGTTTTGACCTGGATGACGGTCATACCCCATATCTTCACCATTGGGATTCAGTTGAAATTGATTTATTTGATACTCTTCCAACTGCAAAAAACAGCATATAGCAAGTCACTAAAAAAAATTTCAATTTGATTGTTAAATCATATCATCTTTCAAATTGGTGATCTAGTTGGTAATTTTTATTTTTCAAATGTATACATCATAAATAGAACTATGAACTGTGAATTGAGTGTTGAAATGTTTACCCTTTGTCTGAGAGCTGTGTTTGCCTCACCTAGCATGTGTTCCTTCATACATGAGACATAATTGAACTAGTTAGCTAGGGAAACATGAGGAAGAATAGCAATTAAACATCGACAAAGGAATTGAAAATTGTTCTCATACCTTGCGCTGACTATCAGAAAGTTGATCCAGCATGAATTGGGTCTGTAGAATGTTATGAAGTTAAGAAAAGAATACACTTACAAAAAAGACCACTGACTTAAATTTTAATCATAGTATTGGTATGAATTTTTCATCTATTGGAAACAATCACTAACACTATGGTGTCCTTAACCTAGTTAGTAACTATAGTACCCGTGTTGATCTGATTTGCTTCAAAGAGGAATCTAGCTGCCTTTCAAGTGATTCAAGTTCATTGCTGCTTAGAGGGCCAAGATCTTCTCCCATAAGGTTCCTAATGAGTGTGCATCAAATATATATTATTAACTTGAGTTGTATTATAGATATAGCATGTACTAATTACTAGATATAATAGAGCATGTTTACCTTTGAAAACGTTGTAGAGCTTCATACCTTGCTTTCAGCTTCAAATATTCTTGTTGACTGCTTAACTCCTATAGTAATGGAAGCAAAATCATTGCAGTTACCTAATTAAGGGAAGATATAGGAAGTCATACATTATGATTCATGAATCTATATCGGTTTGGGGGTACGTGGACAACTATGCCCTAAGTAGTTCAGTGGAACAACCATCATCAAAATATGGAGGAGGGATTCTTGCACACATGGTGAGCAAATTATTAAAAAAAAAATAATATTCAATTACATCTAAGTCATTATATTGATGGAACTATACTGACCTAAAAATTTTTTTAATTAATTTATTTTTTACAAATTAACAGAACATTCGTGTAAAATACTAGCATTTAATATGAATGAGTAATGGATATTCATAGTTTAAGTGAAAAAACTGAAAAAAATGAGCATTAATATTAAACTGGTGTTCCCTATGTAAAGCAACTGAAGTTCAGATTAGCATTCGGTTTTTTTTCTCATAATTGTTGCCTCTCCAATTGAAATTCTTTAGTACCTAGCTAGTTATATATGTATATATATGCCTACATATATTCCTGCTTTTATCTGGCTAACAATAGGATAAACCAGGACAACTTGGCAATGTGAAGGGTAGTTTATAATTCAATTACGAGTTAAATGCACAAACACTCAATTAAATAGGATTTACATAGGATTATCACCAATACCAAGGCTTCCTTTGTTGATGCATTGGCCTCAGGCGCTCCATAGTTGCATTTCTGGTACCTCTCTAGCGTTTTCAGCATGCTTTTGACATAAATAATGATTAAACATTCAGAAAATCATATATGTGCCAAATGGATGACTCTATTTCCACAACTATACAGAACATACAGATACACTAAGTAGTACTAGTTACTGATTAATTGACGTGATTTCTTTAGTAAGGGTTACAGTTTAAAACTAATAAGGAAAAATTATGCTTCTATTGGAAACAATTTTTTACTTCAAATTTGCTGCTACAAGCCCAACTCCACCTAGAAAAGAAGATGTTTTCTCAAGCGATGAACAACTTGCAGTTAGCGTATATAGTGATGAGAAAGCAAGCCCGTAATAAATGGGAAGAGTCAGAATACACCATGTGTGAGCTGGACCGGTGATTAGTAGTTTAAAAGATGTGAATATAAGACCCTTTTCATTTATCTCTAGATAAGAGCTAGTAACAAACTAAACTTGGCAAGAAAAAAAATCAGGGATATATCCCTTGGATAATAATCGAGACTTTTAGCTCATCTATATGCCTCTTCTTAAACCCAGAAGTAGATAGACATGAAACATGGCATTGTTCGATCTTTAATAACCATTGTTGTTTTTTAGAGCAGCAAGGGAGAGGGAAAGAAGCAACTTTGGAAGAAGAAAATTTGTAATGAGAAGTCAACATAATCTAGAAAGAAAATCTTGGTTTGTCTAGCTAGCTAGACATATTGAAACAGATATAACTGATTGAAAAACATGTTATTGAGTTTACGCTTATCATAATAGAGAAGGAGAGGTCTAATTATCCACTGTTCTCGATGCTTTATGCCAAAAGACCGTTCTGATATCATCCTGTAGTAAACATGTCTCTATCATGATAATTGAATTGAAAAGACATCGAAACTACATCTGCTTTCATGTAAATTATGTAGACAAATTATTGAGGAAAGGAACTAGTGATGAGTAAGTTGATTATAAAGGTTGATAAGTAAATAAATAATATAAAAAAATAGAATGCTCGGACAAATTAAAAGAAGTTTTAAATGATGCAAGAGAAGGGAAGAAATGATGGCGAAAAAAAGAACTAATTGTAGAAATAAAATAAACCCTAGCTTGGTCCAAATATGTCAATTAGAGAGTGCCTTGCCTTGGATAAAATAAAATGAAAAAAGTAGTCATGATTTTGATTTTTCGAGTGATTCTTAAAAAACTCTGAAGGCAAAATTAGCAGACACTGGCTAATAAAACTTGTTATTATAGAAATAAAACTTGCCACAGAAGAAACAATTAATTCATGATGTGCTTCTTTTCTCAACACTTGCACAGAAACAGAAGCCTGAGCAAAACCCGAAATTGCCTTTGGGGAAAGCTTTTGAACCAGATCTGCTAGAAACTTAAGCCAAATGAAGCATAAAAATAACTTTTGGATCGCTGGGCTGAGAGCCGAAAGAGGGTAAGAAAGAGAAAGGAGAAGGGTTGGGGAAAACCAAAATAAAAGAACAAGGAAGAGAGAAAAAAAACACACACAGAGAATAGTTAATACAACAGTGATTTGCGTTTCCAGTTGCAGATCTAACATCGACACAGCCGCAGAAACACTCAAGATGCTAAAAACGCCGAGACATTCACAGAAACGGAAAAATTCAAAACAGTGAAAGAAGAAAATTGGCTTTTTCATATTCGTGCTGTTTTCAAAAAAAGAAGAATTCAGAAGGTGGCAAAGGCTAGCCGGGGTTCTTGAATCACTGAAAACAGCAAAAATGAAATGAATAGGGCTTGAAGATCTCGGAAGCAAAATCATTTAAAAGCATTAAAAAATTGAAAGAAGAGAAAGGTGCGGAGAACAAGAAAAGCTAGGTGCTGAAGTTCCTTTTTCTGTGCTAGCATGTTTTATGCGCAAAGATAACATACGTGTTAGAAGACATAAACAAATAGAGAGAGGGAGGGTTTTTCTAGTAGTTTGCTTAGGTTACTTGTGTCCATTAATTCCATGTTATTGTTAAGCATTTTGGTGAATATATATAGATATAGATAGAAGTACCTTGAAGTGCTGCAAAACTCGTACAACTTTCCTCTAGTGGAGAAGATGATGAGAGCAAGCTCGGCATCACAAAGAACGGAAAGCTCATAAGCTTTCTTCAAAAGCCCGTTCCTTCGTTTTGCAAAGGTCACTTGCCTGTTGATCTTGTTCTCAATTCTCTTCAACTCCACTCTTCCCCTTCCCATCTCTCTCTCTCTCTCTCTCTTTCTCTCTCTAACTCTCTTCACTTCTCTTTCTCACGCTCAAATTAACATCCACTCACAATTTCAGAATACATATATATATATATATATGTATGGTGTGAATTGTAAAGTGTGATATATACTGAGAGAGATACGTGTATTATTGTATTCTTCTCCGAGCAAAAGCATGGTTATCAAGTGAAATGGGAATGGTAATGGATGCATGCTTATTCCGAAATCAAATTTCTTTCTTGTTCTCTCTCTACCTGTCTTTTTCTCTTAGCTTAATTTGCTACATTCATCACCTGTGGCCTGTGCTTTCATTGATGATAAGGACCCAGCCAAAGAAAGAAAATGCTGAAATTCAGATTTATTGTGAGTATGGTAAGAGAGTAAATGCAGTTTTGTGGAACACGTAAAGTGAATACTACCGTGGCAGTTGATGGAAAAGTGGGATTCGATCGGACGGTGGTTAGAGAGTGAGGCAATGGGAAAATGGGTGAAACCCTAAATATGGTCCGTGATGAGTGATGAGTGATGATGATTGGTCATTGAATTGAAAAGAAAGAGACTATTCATATCACAACATTGCCACGTGTCGAAATATGAAGTGTGAAAGGACTTGATCTTCTGCTGACTTTTTCGTGTTCAGGCAATCATGTGAACTAACCTTAAAGAAGGTGAACCCTCGTACTCGTAAGGTAGTTCGTATGTTACATCTTGAATTTACCAAATTACCCTTATTCCTTCATAAACATTTCATTGTTTTGTGGATTTAATTCAAATTATACCGTTATTTCATCATGGATTTTACATATGTTCACACCTATAACTTTCGAAATACTGTAATTATTTACAGTTGAGATATTTTTTAAATTAATTGATATTGGGAATTTTGTTTTATAGGACTTAGGCTCTTATTTTATAAGATTTTATTATTTATTTATTTCGTTTAATTTATTCTTCTATTAACAAAGTATATACTTAAGCTTCTTAATTTTTAACTATGTAGTATTTTTCAAATCTTTCCCTCGATTTTAAATTCAATAAAATCGTTTTTTCGTAAGTTTAAATTTATACCATTATTTGTATAAATAATCATTTTTATGAATTGTATCATTCCTAAATTAGAATCGTTACTATTTTTTTTATGGTTGTAAACCTTGAATGTGTTTTATTCTGTAAAATAATATAGGAACATCTAGTCTATTTGCTTTATTTTTAATTTTTAAAATATATTTTTTAATTTATTTTAAGAAACATTTTTTAAAATAAATTAAGTGAAAACTTATTTAATTTTTTTAATTTAAAAATAGATTTAGAAATAAGATGACAATAACATAGAATAACAAAGAAAATTGAATGATAATTTCGACAACTTAATATTAACAAAGACAAACAATATAATATAACTGCTAATGAAAACGTAAACATCATTAATAATAATAAAAATATTATTTTTATTTTATGAAATTCTTATATAGATTAAAAAAAACGAAAAGTTATAATTTGAGGGAAGATATTTAATGGACACTAAATATGTTCGCCTAAAGTTCCAACCATCCCAAAATAAAAAATTACCAGGAATCATATTAATTCATTAGGTAACTTTTTATTATTTCACTTAATTAAGATTTCATACATTTTATTTGAAATTTTCATCACTCTCTATCCATAATAATATGTGTTATACGTATTAGCTACTCTATATGCTTGAGAAAAAAAAAAGAGCATTAATTATATAAATTGAAAATCAAAATCAAAATATTTTCAGATGAAATCATTGTAATTTTAAATTGTAATGTGACTATAAGAAAAAAAAACGACTGATGATATTATTCATAGCAGCCATAGTGTTATTTATTTGTAAATTTAGATTAGTTTTGGTAAATATTAGAGTTAGAGAATGTTGATTAACGATTAACCCTGGTCCAATCTGTTTGTATTATGGAGCGGAAAACAAACTTGATTTTGGGAAAGTGGTGTTGAAGTTTCCGCGTTCTCCTTTGCCTATGCTTCATTTCACATGGAAATGTCACTTCAACGCGTCATCCTTTCACTACTTCAAATTCGTAATTTAATAACAGACTCACCATATTACAAAACTAGTTTGGCGTTTGTGCTAGAATCATCTGAAAATGACATAACAATGGTGTATTACGCAATTACCTTTCCATAAGAATTTCATTGTAAATAATTCTAAAACCAAGATAAAAGGTGTCAAAAACCATCTCGACTTTCTATTGCTAACTGCAGATGACAACCTTAAATTCCACAATGGACGTGCATTTACATTGGGAGGGGAATTTATTAGCATGTTTTAATGAATTAGAAGAACTCTTAAAACAGTTATGGTGTTCTTTTCAGACGAGGAGGGAAAAACATGCTCTTATGGACTAGACACGATATTACCCTTGCGGTCAAAACATGCGTTTCTAGGATTATAGTTCTTGACACCTTGTCTTGTGGAAAAGTTTGAAAACCAGCATGATTCATGGTTCTAATTGTTCATGACATGCCAAATTAGTCGTTTGTCAGAAGGTTATCAGGGCATGTGTGGTGTTTGTATTCATAAGGCAACTCTTTTAATAACTTGAAGTAATAAAATTTTAGCCATTTTTGCTTTTGGGCATTAATAATCATAAGTGTGAGTGTGTGTGTGTGTGTGTGTGTGGTTCTTTTCTATTGATTAGTGTATATTGTGATTAAGCATTAGTGTCTAGTGACAGCAGAAGAATGATTCTGCTATGTTATGTGTAAGCAAGCCATTAAAGGTGATGGTAGTAACTAGTAATAATATAGATGGAGATGAGTTGCAATTAGTTTCAGCCCTGAAAGAGTTTAAAGGATATATTACATACCCTTTAGGTTTTTACCCTCAAATAATTATGAGGGTGGGCCATGTTTAGTGTTTTTTGTTGCATGATGAGTACGTGGTATTTCCTAAAGGAGGATTGACGTGAAGAAATTAAGTGCATATGGGGCAGGCATAATGAACCCTATTTCATATGAATATGATGTTGGTGTACGTTGAGGAGAGGAACAATGGAGTGAACAATCTCAAATCTCATGCCAAATTCCAGATACAAACATCATGGGGACCCACCACTCTGCACTCCCATTGTGCATGGCCCAAACAACAGGGCTCTACTCAATAATGATTGCGCTTCACAATTATAAGAACGTTATTCCAACAAAACCAAAATAATAATAATAATAAATAAATAAATAAAACATCAAAAAATTATCTCCATACATTTTCTTCAAGGTACAATACAAAAAGCATTTCTTATTATTCTTGGATATAAAATGGGCACAGTGAGAGGATAGAGGATGTGCATGAAAGGGAAAGAAATGGAGAAAAGAGAAAGAGGAGTGAGTTGAAAGTTGAATGCAGCATGGGCATAGATGCATAGAGATGTGAGATGCTTTACCATTTTAAGGTGAACAACATCTGCATCAACAATAATAACACCTTCATCTTATTCCAAATTTGGCATTCCCTTTTAAACAACTCACATCTCACTGGGCTGTAACCTGTAGCTGAGTCTAAGATCATAGGTGCATGGTACACCCCTCATAAATTCTAAATCAAATAATCAAGGGCTTCAATAAATGTCACCATACAAATTTCACAGTCATCCATGTGAGAGGTATATGCATTTAATTTCTTACTCAATCAACCAACCTCACATCAAATCCAATCCTTGTTGCAAAAATGCAGACTACTAGCATCTGCAAACTGCTATCTGATAACCAGCCATAGCTTTTAACTTCACATCATTATAAGCAGTTCATATAATATTTTACTAACATGCAACGATGTTGTTTATGTTCCAGACTTCACCAGCCTTCAATTGAAAATTGTAATTCATAATTTCACATATTATTTTATTGAAACAACCTCTTTTGTAATTTTATAGAAGCTGAATCGTTAATTTAGTCCCTAAAATTATAATAATTGGTTAAATTAATTCTAAAATTAAAATAGTTTTAAAATTACAAAGTATCAACATATATACTACTATGCACGTGTATTATTTCAACCATCATATTTGAAACATAAAAAAATATATGCACACATTATCAGTTAATATAATTAATTTCATGATAATATTAATAAAAATATGTTTAGTTAAATTAATTTAACTATTTATATAAACAATTTAATTTTACACAAAAGAATTATGAATAATTTTTTTTGTATATATTAGATGGATTCTTTTGGGCCTGTCGAAGCATCTTTGTGGGCCTTGTACTCTTTGTTTTTTTTTTTTTACTTAAATGATATATTTTGCTCAACAATTTTATTCAACTAGAGTGATGATAGGCAAAAAAGAAAAAATAGTTATGCCTAACCTCGATTCTTTATGAAATTTGTTTGGAGGTAATATTTAATGATAAAAATTCCAAAATAATCACATAAAAAATATAATATAATAAGATGAACCCATATTTAATTTGAAACTTCAATTCATATTTAAAATTTACTTGGACATAACCAGTGTTATATATGTCCATATTTTGAACCCATAGTGACTTAGAATTTTATTAAACTAGATTTGATAAAGATGAATTAAAATTATAGTTTGAGTTAACGTGTTTATATATGCATTGGTACACAGATGCAGAAAGGTATGGATAATGGGTATCTTCGACATCATGTGGTGGTAGCAGTGGTGCATTTTCCATTAACAAAATAAAATTCCTTCTCAACGGTAACCAGTGGAATATTTGCTCCAGAAAAGTAGCGGAAAGAATATGATATGATACGTCATTGAGAATAATGAAGAGTTATTGTGGTCTTGTCACCAACCTATATATGTTATGATGGCTTACATATTCGAATGGAGCAGATGCAGATCAACCTAACAACATTTAAATAATAATAATAATAATGTACTGATCATATACGTGCGTGTATCATATCAATGAAAAAGTTGCTTCAAGTTCTGCTATTCAAGTTGCCAAACTACTTTTTTTCTCACTTTTCACATTGCATTGTCTTCACTATTTCTCATCAAAATAGGAATTTATTAGTCATGCAACAACACAATGTTCTTCTACAAAAGATCCTCCTTAATCCAAATTCTGTTTAAACTCACCTTCCAAGCAAAACAATAACGATTTGATGGTGGTTTTCATTTCTGCATAGCTTTGGAGAATTCCGAATCCAAGGATGTCAACTATTTTGAACAACACGCATATTTTGGTTTTGAATAAATGTTTATATTTTATTGATTAAAGACTTAAAGTTAACTTAGCCTTTGTTATGGCAAAAAAGTGTTTACTTTTGTACTGAATTTATGCATGATATAATAAGTAATAGCTGTGTCGTATCTTTAAAGTTGATAGTATAATCTTAAGTATGTGTTGAGTACAGTGATGGTGTTGTGTAGTTGTGTCTGAAGAAGAGTTGGTTGAGTTGAGGATGTGATTCCATCCAAATATTTGCAACAGAATGAAAGCAACAGCTGTTGGAATTAATACCTTGTACCATCCAACTATAACTTTATCCAAATTCCCTTCCTCTCTACTAAATCTCCTATTTGGATAAGAGATTTAATTTACATCGTATATGAAATTCATTTTATATTATTTAAAATCTATCATTCTGGCCAGTGACCACTATACACAGTTATCATATTTTTCCTGAATAACTTTATCACTTTCATTCATTGAGAATAAAATCCAACGTAGGAATCTTACCAATGGCTGATGTCATGCCATCTTTATCAGCTATAAATCCACGTCTTGCATGGCATTTGGTTATTGCAAGAGACTTTGCATTGCTAATTGGTGTTGTCTTGAAATTTATATATTCAAAGTTTTTGAATTAGCATGTGGAGCAACATGTTGAAATCCTTAAGGAAAAGCCTAACAAGGCTTCAACACAAGTGTGTGAATAAGCAGAGGAGTGAAGGTGATAGGAGTGTGTCAGTGCATGGTGAAGACTTGGTTGGTTTGCCTGTGCAGTGTTGCAATTGTTGCATAGAGGAAACCAAACAGTGCAATTGTGACCACATTCATGCCGCAGAAGACGTAAATGTCGACTCTCAGCGTGATGCTAACGCCAACAGTTCTTTTGTTCATGCTGTCATCAACATGGTGGGGATGCTCATAGGTAATAACTTTGCATGCTACCTAATTTTTCACTCTGCTTTTAGGTGGGAATATGTAAAATCAAGTTATAAACGTTTATTTTAAAATTATTAGAACAGATTAAAAAGTAAAAACTTCATAATCACATAGATGTGTTTGTTTTTCAAATTTTTTAACTTGATAGGTTCAACTGTAAATTTATATTGAAACATGTTTTTTCTTTTTTCACTAAAAAGTATACAACATTGATTTTCCAATATCAAAATGAACAGGGACTTCTAGTAAGTTTATTTTAAAACGTAAGCATCAGATGTAAAATTATTCTCTTGATTTACTTTTACCCAACTTCACTACGAGAATAGTATTTAGAATACACAATAGAATCTCAAACACATATTTTCAAACACTTTCAGGGTGGTGCATCCAAGATTTGCAGGCTCACAATTCTGTTCTAAATCTTACTTGTATGTCTAAAATTAGACATAACAACCAACCAATTAAAAACACGTTAATGTCGAATGATAAGTTGAAATTAGCTCTAATCACAATCATTATTGTAAATTTGCCCATCAACTAATTGATTATTTGCCAACTAATTGATTGATTTGAGTTTGAATTCTTCCTAAAATGAACTCTAGATTTGTGAGCAGAGAACCAACGAGTCTTTGAAAATTCTTGGGTAGTTTTGACTATTTTATGTTCCCAAATCAATCAATAAGTGTGTGCAACTCAATATGTTTCAGGTTTGGGGCAACTATCAACACCATATGCTGTAGAAAGTGGAGGGTGGGTGTCTGCATTCTTGCTTATAGGACTAGGGGTGATGTGTGCTTATAGTTCTCACATACTTGGAAGATGCCTTAGAATGAATCCCAAGTTAAGAAGCTTTGTGGAGATTGGGAAGCATGCATTTGGATCAAAAGGAAGATTGGTGGCTGCAACAATCATCTACATGGAAATCTTCATGTCCCTTGTTTCCTACACCATCTCATTACATGATAATTTGACCACAGTGTTTCTGGGGATAAATCTGAAGCTGCACTTCCCTATATTCTCCTCGTCGCAGCTCCTAACTGTGGTGGCAGTCCTCATTGCCCTCCCTAGTTTATGGATCAGAGACCTTTCTTCCATATCTTTCCTTTCAGGTGTTGGTATTCTCATGTCCCTACTCATTTTTCTGTGTGTAGCAGCCACTGCACTTTTAGGTCATGTCCAATCTAATAACCATACCATACCTGTTCTCCAACTCCATAATATTCCATCAGTATCTGGCCTTTACGTCTTCGGCTATGGAGGACATATTGTTTTCCCTGAATTATATACAGCCATGAAAGATCCCTCCAAATTTACCAAGGTAACCCCACTGCATTAAATTTTATAAACTTGTTTGCTTTATCAAAACTTTCAATTTATATCTACATATTATGTGTGTGCATGGAATAAAACATGTTCGGAAATTTCAGGTTTCTATTGTGAGCTTCGCAGTGGTGACAGCAATTTACACAACGCTGGGGTTTATGGGTGCAAAGATGTTTGGTAAGGATGTGAAGTCTCAGATAACTCTTAGCATGTCGCCGGAGCACATTGTGACAAAGATTGCTCTGTGGGCAACCGTGGTAGCACCAATGACCAAATACGCACTTGAATTCACACCTTTCGCCATTCAACTAGAACATTCACTTCCAAGCTCCATGAGTGGCAGAACCAAAATGATAATTAGGGGTTGCGTAGGTTCATTTTCACTTTTGGTCATACTAACCCTGGCTCTCTCGGTTCCTTATTTCGAACATGTACTAAGTCTCACTGGTTCCCTTGTTAGTGTTGCCGTTTGTTTAATCTTGCCATGTGCTTTCTATGTGAAGATATGTTGGGGTCAAATATCAAACCCTATCTTGCTCCTAAACCTCTTTCTCATCACATTTGGCTTTGTTCTTGCTGTGATAGGCACCATTTCCTCCTCAAAGTTGCTACTCAAAAGTTTTCAATTGCATCACTCAAGTTAGGAACTTAATCGGAGTGATTCACTATACATATGTACTATTACTGTTAGATAAGTTTGTGATTTCTTGTATGATGAAAACAACTTCGTTGTCTGTTGCTTTGGAACAACAATTAATGAAGACAACCTAATAATTTTCCGTTCATGTAATGTTGATAAATTAAATAATTCTCTAAGCATTGATTCATTTTATTTGAAGTAAAACTTCCTACATTCACGATTCTGACTTTGATGAACGGATTGGATTTGGATTTGTATTGTTTCGACTATCGATTCCGTCTTATCTGATGAACGTCATTGGAAGATTCCCAGAAGAACTTTGCTTGCATGTTAAAAAAATTTATTCCACACCAATGTTCTGCAAACATGAATAAGAAAGTGAATATAAAGTTGCAGATTCTGAGCACAGAAAAAAAGTAAAACTCAGATTTGTATAAATTCCCATATGCGAACAATTAGAATATATCCATGTTCCGCAGAATCTCACGTGGAGGTGGAACTAATTAAAGAAAAATGCTTATGACGTAGTCATTGGTAAGATAAAATAAAAAGAAACGAGACACACAAAAATAGACGGTAAATTCTTACAAACCGTACTTATGATTACGCAATGATTAATCAAGTATAATCAGTTATATATTTTTTTTATATGAATATATTTTATGGGTAACCCTCCTTTAAATTTTCATCGTTCAAAACTATTTAAGAATCTTAAAAAACAGATTTTAAAAAAAATTACTTTAACTTTAATTTGCCAGTTAGCATATTTATATAGTATTTAATGCAGTTGTCTACCACAACTTAAATTTAAGATTATTGTTAAAGTTATAAGATTCAAATGATATTTTGAATTTAACATGATTTAAAAATCAACACAACACAGGGTGGTGCGAAAGTGAGTCATTTTGGCTGATACAAGTTGGTTCATCCTGAGGTGAGTTAAAGATAAGTGAGCTAAAGTCGACTTATTAATTTTATGGCGAGTTAGAAATCTTACAACCCGATTCAACTCATTAAAGGTTGGTAGGTTAGATGGTTTGACTTATTAACTCGTTTTTTTTTCTTCTTCTAATAACTACAACTAAATAGCGGGACTGAACGACACGGTGACACAACAAACTCTATAATGCAACTGAAATGCGACAAACACTATAATACAACTGAAATACGGTAACATGGTGACGTGACGAATGCACTGGTGCGACGAATGTACTGGTGCGACGAATGCGGTAACGTGATTAAAAGATGATAACCATAAGTAAGAGTTTAACTTATGGAATAAAGATGGAGAAAAAAAAATATCAATTAAAATTATTATTAATTATTTTTAAAATTTAAAATAAATGATGGATTGCGGGTCAACCCACCACAACCCGGCTTGAACCCATTATCAGTATAAATAAAAAAAATCGAACCCAATCCTACTCGAACCCGTAGTAAACCGAGTTAGCTCACTAGGTTAAAATCAATGTTGACACCTCTAAACACAAACAGTTTTTTTTTTTTCTCAATAGTTTCAAAATCTGTTTCAGTATTTTCAAATAGCTTGAATTTCTATGCATAAAAAATAAAACCATTTTTCTGATATATTTGTACGAATACTTAAATTGCTTAATTACTTGTCTCTCTTAGTTTACATTCTTTTTCTTAATTTTAATTCCATAATTTATAAAAAATAAAATTATTTAAAATGCATTAAAAATGTCATAATCCACTCTTCATTATTCTAATATTGTTTTTAACGTTAAAATAAAAAATTTATTATCCATTTTAATTATTATTTCACTACTAAAAATTCTCATATTATTTTTAGAAATCTTTTATAAAAATTGCCAAAAATAATTTTTCTATAAATTTAAATAAATTTTAAAAAAATTGTTAAAAACAACTAATATTTTAATAATTTAAAATGATAATTTAGATTTATTCATAATCAAATTTTATCATATTCACTTGTTTTTTTAAGAGATTTTTAAAAATATATTTCTTATGAAAATAAATTCTATAGATTTTTTTTTTGCTTTGAAAATATTTTCAAGAAACTATAGTGCTGGATTTTTTTTTGTTTTTTTTTTTGACGAATTCTTTTGTTGAAAATAAATTTTTCGAAAAAAAAAACATCTTGGATATTTTATGAAAAATATGCAAAAAAATAAAATATCCCAAATTTAGTTGTGCTTACTGCATATGTTTATACAGCCAACCAGATATTTACAAACACACAGGTTTACCAGAAACTGAATTGATCCTCCACTCCACATTTTTGGAACAAATTCTAACAAATCTCATATATTTACTAATAAAAAAAATATTAGTAGTGTCATGTTGATTAAAAATGTATTAATAAATAAAAAAATACTATATTTTCAAGTTTGGTCAGCACTGAAAAAGAAGTGGACGCTGATCCTATGTTATTATGACGTGCTTAGAAAAAGTCAGCGCACCAAACTTTATATTTTAGTGCATTAAACTGAAATGATTGAAGCCATTCCAGTAACATGCTTCTCAACTTATGTATTCTATCATATGAAATAAAATATGATTTCAATGTCATTTTCAAAACGAACCTATGCAGTATGTCATGTTTTGTTTGCAATTTGTGTATGTTAAATATTAATAACATGTAAAATGATGTTCCAATTTTAGTTTTTAGTCTTATAAAATTATAATATTATATTCATCTAATAATATTTTTGTATTATTTAATTGTTACTGTATTATTATTATAATGTTATCATTTAATAGTTATTTAAAGAGCAATAATTTGAAAATAGCACTGTAGTTATTTTCCCATCTGTCCTTTCTTTTGAATTATTTTTAAATGAATTATATTATTTTTTGAAAACAACCAAAATATAAATCAAACTAGGATCAATAACCCCGTCTGTTAAATCGGACAACACTTTGGTTAAAACAATTAAGAAAACAGACAAAGGTGGATGCAATGTTACTATGTTCTTCTGAGTCTCCTTTTACATACATTACACAACAGAAACCTGCATGCGGTTGTGCAAAATGTTTGTATTACTCAGTTGCCCATCACACTTTTACTAAGTCTGAATATTTCCTAACATGATTGATTGTACTTTGAGAACATTAAGACGTTTTTGGCGGAGAAGATATTGAAGAAGCACTTTAGTATGCACTGCTAACGAACATTTACATTTGCTCAGTATACAGGTATTGTTTTGGATGTGCAAGATTAAGTTCATTTCTTATATAGCCTTTTGTTTTATTTTATTTCTTTGAATTCTTCATCTCCGTCTATAGATAAACAGTAGATTTTACATAAAAGGGAAAGGATGTTCTGTGTTGGATTGTATCTACCAATGAAGGTTGAAACTAGCAGCCTGCATAAGCGGATGTGCAAAGTAAGCTCCTAAGGTTAGTGCTGTAATTGTCAAGTATGGCAGTCGAAGAAATTCCTTGTAGAAATCTTTAGGTAACTTTTGTCGGCCATCAAGAATTGCTGCAAAAGGGACAACACTTGTTCGACTCTTAACTGACTCAAAATCCTCCCCAAATTTTATAGCCAGTCGCCTGTCTCCATTCCAGACACCAAACAGATGATGAGCAATTAAGCCAAATGAGGCTGCAACAGCCACAGAATTTCCAATCCAAATCGTGTGAGCAAGACACCAGATAACCTGCCCAACCATCTGAAGAGAAAACGTCAAGTGCAAGAAATGCATCTGAAGTAAAAGCAAAATGGGGCAAGAGTATCCATTGCGCAAAACAAAAATTTGGAAGGTGTTTTCAGAAGCTATTAGTAATGTATTGCTACTTCAACTAAGTTAGCATATGCAGCAAGAAAAAATAAAGAGACGCATTACCAAAGAAAGAAGAAAGATTTGCATTAAAGAAAAGATCATTTATCGGTCCAAGTTGTGAAGACCACAAAAATCATGAAGATGACAGAATTTATCAACGTCATAATACGGTATTAGATTTATACCTGTGGATGCCTGGTTATTCTTATGATCCCAGTTTCCCATAGATGTAGTTTAGGCTTGTCAACAGCTGCAACCTCTAGAAGATTAAAAGTTGAAGGATATAGGAAAAAGAAAGAAATGAAATTGGAAAGCCACAGAAGTTGATGAAGCCCGGGAGTATCCTGGACCTGCCAGAGTTGAAGTCCATCATATCTGTGGTTAATAAAATACACCTGTATCACGATGCCAAACAAGTAAAGTAATTTAGTTTGAATCAACTTCAAATCTCCCCTTGTCAAAAAAAATAAAAATAAAAATAAAAATCAAATAAAAAGAGATGAACGTCAGGTATTAGGGAATACAGAGCAGTAACTCACAATAGTACTGACAGCCAAAGGAAGCGATATCCCTGCAAATAGTACACGGAAAGGTCTTTCTCCAATGAGTTTCTCGCCAGTGTTCCGGAAGCTAGCTAAGCCACTGTGAACACCAGCAAATATGAGAATCAGTATTAACATCACCACCTGCAGGATACCATGTCAAGAGTTAGTCATCAACCAAGCACTATGGCAGCCTTCAAATTTGCTAGTTAAATGGTACAGATCCTATTACATCTTTCAAATAAGTTAATTAAATCATACAGACAACTAGACAGCCAATACTACTAAAAGAAAAGCAAAGATCTGCATATGAATTGTGTTAGAGGGTGTGTGGCTACAAAATAAGCACCTTCATGATGAATGCAAGCCATTATGTTAAAAAAGAGTTACCATTTTACGTCATACATGGTCCTAGTTCCACCCACCTCTCAGTTCTGCATGCTCCTAAAGAAAAGGTTGATGGTACTATGTTGTTTCCCTTTGGCCATGATTAGTCCATTGATACTGTGAAGTCTGTACTGCATACTATTTTCACGTGTAGAAAGTTGTAGATTTTCGGGGAAGTTCATCCCCTCTAACTGACACACTTTACTTTGACTCTGTTTTTCCAGGCAAGTTGGCGTACTTTTCAATCACCTTTCCACTTTTTCTTAAGGATAAACAAAAATTACCACTGGATAAAGAATAAAAGCCAGACTGTATAAACTTAACAAACACTTGAACAAAATAAAATGAATTGAATTTCTGCCTCAAGTTGAAATTAATGTATGCCCCTCAACTTAGTATCAAGCTAAACGAAGGAGCTTCTGAAAATGTTGAGGAACACTAGTTAATTTTAACTTGAAGGTAAGTTTGATTCATTTTCATCCTTGATTCATTTGTATTCTCGTCAAAATGCTTGTTAAGGAGTTATATCCGAACTGGCTCTAAAGCTGCGCCTTCAAACCTAACCCGTCTAACAAGGGAGAAAAGCTTCTAAATCAAATCTAGTTCCACTATAAGTCATTCATTGGAGCCATGTGTCTCACTTTCAACAAATCAAAGCAAAAAAATGGGACTGTGGACCTTGTTCAGACCCCTGTGAGTCTGGAAAGAACCTGTATATTAACATGCCACCACCAGAAGGGTATGTTTGGAGGGTTGCATTTTTTGTATAATTATTATTCTGATAATTAAATTTCTTGCACTCATCCTCTATTCACTTTGATAATTGAAAATGAAAAGTCAACTCACTTCCTTTTCATTGATTCTAAACCCATCCATTCGCGCAAACATACCCAAATTTCAAAGAAAACAACAGATTATCCGTCTTTATTTCTAAGCACACTAGTGACTAGTAAGTGACTTACCTCATCTTAGAAATAGAACATACAACAAAAAATAGTGGAAATTGTTGGAAAAAGAAGAAGAATAAGTGTAACCTCGTGAGAATCAGAAAGGGACGAAACGGCGTCAATAAAAGCTTTGCCATAGCCAGTTGAGTTGTCAATCCATGCGACGTTAAGAACATAGAGAACCACTCCAAGAATGGCGGTGAAATAAACCCACGAAGATATTTTCTGTTCCCCCAATTCAAACACCGCAGAGTCCTCCCCCACGAAACCTAACTCCTTCTCGCTCTCGTTCTCACTCTCTTTAATTGAAGTGCGGACAATGAACTGGCGACCATAAAGCGGTGATTTTGAATTGGAACGAAGCAAGTTGGAGAAGCATTGAGAGGTATGTTTCAGGTTTGTTTTGGCGAATGAATTGGAAGAAGAGAAAGAAGAAAGAGATGGACGACGATAGCCATAGTTGAAAAACTGAGACACAGAGGTAGACACCACAACAGAGGCCGCCATGTTCCTTCGTTTCTCTCACCTCTGTTGTCGGAATAGCACTTTCAGTCACAGACAAAGACAATTAGATAAACAAATTGAATGTATACTCACTATTAAAAAATTCTATTGTCAAATTATTTACTTATTTAAAAGATGTAATATAATTTCAATTATTTATGTAATATTAATTTTGTGTCTAAAGTTTTTATTATTGTAATATGTATTAAATGAGATATTAATTAGACCAAAATATTATTGTACAGGTAGTTTACAATTAAATAAAATACTAATTGAACTCATTAGTGTTTTATACATTTTAGTAGATTAAATTACATTTTTAATCCTTTTAAACTTTATTTGATATTTGACTTTTTATCTTTTAAATTTGTTTTAATTTGATTATTTTGATATTTGAAATTATTCATTTTAATCATTTTAACATAATGAGACTTACCAATTTAATTTCTCTTATATATATATATATATATATATATATATATATATATATATATATATATATTCTGTCCCTTCAAATTATACTATTTTTATTAAAATATTAACCATATAATTGATAAAAACAGTGTAATAATCTCACCGTTAAAAGATGAGACTGAAAGCATACCTACATAATTTAGGGTGAAGACCTATGTGATCAAAGCTTATTAAATTCATCACATCACAGTCACAGAATTGATTCCAGTAGCAGTAGGAGTATATAATTGTGCTTTATGTTATGAACAACTTACCTGGGACAAAATAAATGTGGTCACGAAATGTAAATGATTGATTCATGAAAATGGACCAAGTTTCTATGAAATCTGATCTCCTCCATCACCGGGTTTTTATCTCAACTGCTTTTGGTGACTACTGTAACATTCGCAGGGCCCACTTTGGCATGTGTTACTTTAATTCCTACTCTCCTTCATTCATTATATAAGTGCTGGTATGATAGTTATGCAGATACATACATTTCATTTCAAAGTCACAACCGTCAATCTCAACTCCAGTGGTCATTGATAAGGGACACAACCTCCCTAGTTCAGCAAAGAAAATTCTAACTTTGGCACTCGTTTACTCGATATCAACCAATTCTGAACAAGGGTCTGTTCTTGGTGTCTTTTTCCTTCAAAATGTCTGCTGCTGTGTCCTCCACAACTTCTCGTTTAGAGGAAGAGCTCAAGAACAAAGCATCAGACAACAACAACAATGTTGGTGGGGAACCAGACCAGCCCCCTTACAGTGATGGTGCCAACTCTGATGTTGCAGAAGAAACTGAGCCAGAGGAAGATGATGACTCCAGGTTGGAATCTGACAGAGAACTGGATATTGGTCCCCAAATCACTCTCAAGGAGCAGCTTGAGAAAGATAAAGTGAGATTGTCTTTTTCCTTTCGTTTTTCAGATGTTTGTTCACGCTCTTTGGTTTTGCAGCTGTTTTTTGATGAAAGATTTTTCTTTTGTGTTCAAAGGATGATGAGAGTTTGAGAAAATGGAAGGAACAACTTCTGGGAAGTGTGGATTTGTCTGTCGTTAAAGGTGGTACATAGTTTTTCTCTTCAACTCCTCGTGTTCTCTCTCTCTCTGTCGCTTTCAAACTCTTCTAGATCCATCTTTATTATGTCACTAAGATAACGCGACACTTGACTTGATTGGAAGTGGAATATTACCACTCTTTGTTGAAAGCTCCTGTTGAAGATGGTCTTCTTCTCGTTATTTCACTAAACCAATTCTAAACACAGTTGGGATGCTTCGCTTTTTTTCTAAAATACTGAAGCAAGATAATTAATTTCTTTGCAACATTAACCAAAATAAACTTAAATTAGCAAAGCCTTATTGATTTCTTAGGTTGGCTCCAGCCTTTTTTGGCATTTATGGTAATGTCAAATTGTTTTGAAGATGACAATTAAATTAAGCATAGTTTGTGGCAGTAAGTTTCACTTAAGCTCCTAATAATTAATGTTTGGAGGCCATGAAAATGTGAAAGCTCGTGTTGCAATGCAGAAATCAAAGACCCTGATGTGAAGATATTGAGCCTCACCATTACAAGCCCGGACAGGCCAGACCTCATCCTGCCAATTCCATTTACAAATGATCCTAAGAAAAGTCTCTTCATCCTTAAGGAAGGAAGCAAATGCGCCATGAAATTCACCTTCACTGTCTCCAACAACATCGTTTCTGGTCTCAAATACACAAATATTATCTGGAAAACTGGCGTTAGAGGTGTGAGACAGCACTCCTAGTGTTTAACTTGATTTTTTTTTTTTTTTTTCTGGGTGGAATTTACTTTAATTGATTAATCAATGTTGACAGTATTTTTCATTTCTTGTAACAGTGGCCAGCAGAAAAAAGATGTTGGGAACTTTTAGCCCCCAGAAGGAACCATATACATATGCATTGGAAGAAGAAAGTACTCCTTGTGGCATGTTCGTTAGGGGAACCTATGCGGCAAGAACCAAGGTAAGACATTCAGTCAAACTTAGAATACTTTTCTTTAAGCTGAGTGGAATACTCTTGTCCACAAATAGGAAGAACTAACTAACTAAATTTTTTTTGCTCCAGTTTGTAGATGACGATCAAAAATGCTACTTGGATGTCAATTACTACTTCGAAATTCAGAAGAGTTGGGCAAAACCACAATGAGATTTGGACTTGAGCAACTTGCTGGAAATTTATCTTTCTTTGGCATTTTGTGTGTCTCTCTGGAACATGTTGGAACTCAACTTGTTTTAGTTGTTAATCAAATCCAGTTAACACGATTGTAAACGTGCATGCTACATGCTAGTGTAACCTCTCCCCCTCTAATTCTCTGTTTTTCTATGGTTCTTTACATTTTCTAATGCCAAGATGTGACAAATAAAATCACTGTTAAATTTTAGTGTGTATATGTACACTCATTCACTCAAGATTCCCCGTAGAGTTAATTTAGTAGAATGTGAAATGAAGGTTGAAGAGATGGGATAGAAATGGATCCCTTATGAAGAAAGATAAACAAATGAACATTCAATAAGTATCCTCAACTACTGCATGTGCTTGCAAAAGCAATGGCCTAAAGTTTCGTAAGTTCTTTGGTGGGCCAAAAGTTTCTCTCATCATATGAATGCATCAAGCATGCACTTTACTAACAAGCTGAAATCAGAAAAAGAAAAAAAAAGAAGGAAAAAGCAGAACTTGTAATGAAACTAAAATTGGGTCCCCAACCCGCCGATTATCATGGACCAAAATTTGAATGTGTTGCACAGTGTCATTTCAACACTTGGTGAATGTTTTAATAGAATCTAGTTCGAAGTATTATTACAACATATATAGTTGTTAGATCCTTGTGTTGGCTGAATTGTTCTTTCATTCAATTACCAAGTTCAGTTAGAACAATAATGAGCCTGAGATGATGCACCGAATGATCGACCAATCTTACACTTGTGTTAGTGTTGAATCAAATCGATGCCAACTCATTTTGAATCAGTAGGTAATCATGGTGCTTAAGAGCATGATTACGAGTTAACCAATTTCTGAATGCAAATGCTAGCTATGATTGCACACATGGGGTGGGTCACCAGAAACCATTTCCTACCAGTTTTACAACTACAACATCCCCTACTTCATTGTTATTTATTGCCACTTGCCATTACTTGCTGAGAAAATTCCTCATAGTATCATGCTAATGCTATATTATTTTTTTGACACATTATGAACACGATTATTGTAAAACTATATATTTATAAATTCAGAATGCACTTTGAACTTATTTTGCAAGTATAAGCCGCATTCTTTATTTTATTTACATTTCTTCAAAAAGCAAGAATGTAACAAGCTTTCAACTTCAGATGCTAATCTGTAGTGTGTACTGTGCTATCATTACATGCATGCACTCTACTTCATGATGCCTTAATTCGGCGTGATCCTTTTTTTTTTCCATCTTGAACAACTAGTACACCTAAAATAAAACTTTAAAGACATTTTTTTTAAAAAAAATAAAAATTTCAACACACATGACTTCTTTTATATATGCATATTTTATTATTTTATACTAATCAATAAAAAAATACTTATTTTTGTTCTGTGTTTTGGTACAACAAACATTCTCAACAAAAGACTAGGATGAAATAATAGTAATAAGAATGGCAGAAAAGAATTATGTTTTTGTGATTGGCATTATAATGTGTTGTCGGGAATCGAATAATTTGAAGCTAGAGGGCAATTAAAGGACACCCTTTAACCTTACTTTCTTTCCAAGTAAAGTTGCATACTAATTACCAACAATAATCATTGCATGAATCACAAACACAAGCCATGCAGGAATAACAGTTCCTGGGAACATTTATTTTCTATTTTCAAACCAATAATAAAAATGTGTAAAAGGTTTTCAAATAATTTGATAATAAAAAATTTCTCTCCATCTTAAAAACTTCATTTTTATTGACTTTTTATCATATTAAAAAGAATATTACATATTTATATTTAAACATTCTCAAAAATTTTACGTGACATCAAATATTTATTCCCTAAAAATTAAAAAGTCTTACAGTAATATTTCTTAATAACATCATTTCCTAAATATTTAATAAATTTTCTAGTTTCCAAAACTAAATAGATAAACGTTATAATACAAATTATTAATTTTATCCTATCATAATTATCTATTATATATAAGATATACATTACTTAACGTAATACGTAAACACCACATAAAACACAAACACTTAAATTTCTAACTTTTCTTATTAAGAAATCGCAAATATTCAAATTCTAAAGAAATTAACATAATACTAAACACTAACTAGTAGTTATTCATATAATGATGATAACCACGTACATAGCACATACAAGTCAAACTGGTTCGGAAAAATATAGATTGAAAATGTTATATGTGCATCCTTGATGAATATTATCTTATTTTAGACCAATTTTTTTGAATATTTTATAAAAATTTAAACAAGTTACAACTTTTATTTTGTATTTTAAATAAATCTACCAATTTAGCTCATCAATCAACTATAAATTGAGTTGAATTGATTTTTATGGTTAGTAAAAAAGAAAGTGAGGCAATTTTATGTTTTGAATAATCCATGAGTGGAGTTAATTGACTTTGACTGCCCAAACAAAAGCAGAAAAAAGTCATAAATGAATGGTGTGTAGTTTGGATTAGATTTTTCTCAATTCTTCAAAATCACACTTCCCTATGCATTTTTGTCAAAAGCTACTACTTTCATTTACGCGGAATTGCGGTTAGAATAATCAAACTAACATATATGGTTGGTTTGGTTATCTTATTCCATCTTTTCCTACTAATTTTCTTTTGGAAGTAAGACCAAGAATTAATTATATTCCAGGTAAGCTTCTGATTGACAAAGTTATTGTTTTTCCCACATCATCTATCTATTTTCATTTGATTTCCTTAAAATAAAAGCTAATAAATGCTTACATTTTCTAGAAACCAAAATCCTGTTTGAGTTTGACTACAAAACAACCCAACAAATGAGTGAAGTCGATTATGGGTTCGTTCTTCTTAACCAAAACAAATTAAAATGCAAGTTTTCTTCTGCATATTCGTGCGCATTCATTCAATTTGGTCGTCCGCCTAAAGCTACAATGGAAGGCCACCATTTCATGTTTCGTCCTTTCAATTTTATCACTAGTTGGTTGAATCGATAATATAACGTTGATCAAAATTTAAATTGAAATCCAACACCAAACCAATGCTCTATACCCACCGCACCACTTATTTTTGTATACTGCACTATACACAGTGATCACAAAGCAAATGCCTATGTACGTGTGATCTATGAGTTCACAAAAAAATTAAGCAACGAATGAAATCCAACAATGGTTTTCTACTCTCTACATATACATAGAAGGGAAGTAACTTGGAATGGACAACTAGTAGTCTAACACTGCAAACTTGACCAGTAATCCAACCTTACCACCCTCAGTCACAAGCCTAGCAGCTGTTACCAACCAATGTCCAGGAGCATCATGTGGCCCCCGCAGAACCTCGCTTGTATCCACATATTTAAGCAGTTTTCCCGAACGAACAGGCACAGGTGGACCATCTGGATAAACACCAGAGTCAAGCGCAGTTGGAGCCTGTTTCTGAGGAGAAGCAGTGACACTTTGCTGTGTGAATGAAAATGTTGTGCTTAAATTTGTGAGGAAAGATGATTTTCTTGAAGCCTCAGGAGCACCACCCCAATCTGACTTCCTGATACTGCAATTGGGTATGTGAGTATATTGGAGGCGCAAGTGAAGAACGTTCTTTGGCCAATTCCCTTTGCTAATGAGTTGTGCACCGGTTACTATATAAACACCACTACCACTTGTGTAATGCAACCAGTTGGGGTCATGTTTGACCACTGCGGTGCACACGTTTGCAAATCCCTTCCACCTTATTGGTTCCAGAAAGGTGTCACAGAATTCATTATCATCAGATCCTCGCCACAAAGATGTGCTTGAAGAGAGGATCATTGTTTTTGGGAGGCTTGAAAGATGATGTACATGTATTGCAAGTCTATCACATTTTCTTCCTTCCAAGTACAAACGGAGGCCTACCACAGGCTTTTTTTCACTCACTACCTGATATTGTTTTGCATGAAATAAAATGTCATGATTAACAAACAACCGATACATACATAATTGATGTCAATTATAAGCACAGGTTTGCTCAAATAGGAGGAAGGTTTGGCGAACAGAAGTACCTGTGCAGAACTGACATGAAGCTTGGGAGACATGAAACCAAATTGCAGGGAAGGGGAAGTAGTCTTTTTCCTTTGATGCCTCAGAGGTAGCTCATAAAACATGGGTGCCCATTGCCTTGGAATTTGAAACTCCAAGAAGCATTGTAAATCTTCGAGAAGGGGCTTATCTGTAAAGCACAAGTGTATCAATCATGTGTTGTGTTCCTTAAGGGTCAAAAAATTGTAAATGACAATGTGAAACAAATTATAGCTTTGACATTACTTTTGAAAAGGGTGACAAAGATAATTTGAACCCAAAATAGTTTAATTATGTTGGTGCTTATCTTCCTAATGGTTAATCATTGAAACAGTATAAAGTGGATATGTATAAAAGTAGTAAATTAATTATAGTATATTAGTTAATCTGAGAAGAAGAACGTACAGCGTAAATACAAATTGATTGCATGACTAAGATAGCCACCTCCTGGAATTCCTGTGAGAAGTGAGGAAATAGGAACAAACTTGAAGAGGATTGCTTCAGGATTAGAAGCCACTGTCTGGAGCCAATTTGAGTGACAATGCTTGAACACATCTCCTCCTCTTTTTGAACAAATGATAGTGAGGCCCTGTTCCAACATAAAATTAAGACATTGACAGCTTAGAAGTTTAAATTTTAATTCGGTTCAATTTTCCAATTGCAAATATTTCTCTTTTAGTGACTTACATCCTTGCTTGAAGTTTCTGAAATGCTGGTGAACTGCGTTGTGTTTGATTGCATCACACGATTGAAGACCTCAGGAACCTACATGAATAAGAGAGATTGCATCAACAGATAAGTAACAAACCTGTAAAATCTAAAGAAAATAAAATGCTGTATATATTACTTTTTGTTTGGCTTCTGTGGAGGTGTTAGTTTGTTGTCGAGAAGGGCTTCTTAAATCCTGAAACAAAAAATCTCCTAGATTCTCTAAA